GCATTCCTTCTTTTCGCGATCAATTGAAAGTTCGGGTTGCACCGATTAGATCACATACAGTAAATAGTGGTTTTCGCCTTTCGAAGTACTAACCAAAAGGAGAGTAGGGCAATCGGAGGAGAAGCTTTTCCCTTCTTCGACGGCGAAGCACATGAGAAGCGATTTATGAGTGGGTGCAGTTGCTTGGACAAGAACGAACTTTCTCCTCTCTTGAAAAAGAGGAAGATTTACAAAGGTAACACTCAATCCTTATGTATTTTTCCTCTCTTAAATCTTCAATTTTTCCATGCAGATCATCTTACTTGTGCAAAAGCAAATAGATTTCATATTTAAAAAATTAAAATGATGATATTATTTATGTGATATAAAAGAGTTGGGTGGTATAAATATAAAAAAATGAACTTTAGATATATGCGTAAATACATAAGAATTTGGTGATATGTATGTAACTGCTTCATTAAAATATTGGAAATTTTACATAGGTACTACACAAATCTTATTTACGCATATAAAACTTTGTCGTTTTAAATTTACGCATGAATATTCCTTTTGTCAACTTTATTTTAGCATTTAGAAAGAACAAAAAACAACATTATATTATGTTTTGTTTGATTCAAATGATTTGGTGTAATCTTATTTGTTTTCTCTGATAGGATATTTTTTGCATAAATATTTGTTGTCTCGGTACGTTTCAACTCAGCATTATATTTTTTTAATGATGATTTGGTGCGAAATATATATCATTTTTGTATTGTTATGAATGTGTTTTATTGGTTCTAAAATATATAATATATAGACATTGCAGTTTTGTTGAGAACAGTACAACTGTTGCGTGTCAGATTATTCATTTATTTAAAAAAATCTACAAATCAGTTATTTTCGAAACACACAAACCAAATAGCTAAACAACTCACCCAAAATAGGGGCAGAATGATCATTTATCAATAATCAAATGTTTTTCAAACACACAAACCAAACAGTCCGACAGCCTATTCGGATCAGCTTATATACATAAGCTGGATAAGTTGCAGCTATCCAAAACAGTCCTTAAGAGAATGATAAATGACACTAGTAGCTCGAAGACAAATATCGTACCATCAAAATATTTCTTTCCACTAGGTTGCCTAATCATTCCACAATAATGTTGTGACATTAGCATTAAAGCATGCTTAATGTGAAATGGAGCAATGCAAAAGGCTTACGTAACGCAAGCTTGTCACTGGCATGAAAAAGCTAAAGCACCAGTTACATGTCACTCAAGGGAATAGATGCTTGCAATTGATCAATTTCAAGTTATGCTTGAAGGCCAATTAAGTCAAAAAATTTCATTGATGAAAAGAAAAAAGAAAATAGAAGCAATTCACTCAAAGAAAAATTCCTAGGCATGGCGCACACGCACATAGCAAATGATACTCGAGGTTTTTCTCATGCATTGGTTTGATTGCCTTTAGTTTCTTCTACACACGAACAAATACTAACACTAACCATAGGGCCATCTTTATCATGTATTTGTCCATTTCCATTTTTTCCTCCATTTGAGTAGAATCTGACAAATGCACTACTTCCTCACTTACTCTTCATGTAACTCTCAATACACAAAAAACATCTTTTATTCTCACGTAGTCTTCCATACTTTCGAGTAATCACTCTTATTAACTCCATTATTTTCCTGGATTCTAAATTGGTAAAAATATTATTTTACTTTTTTTTTTTCATTGAGGAATTGCTTCAAATGTTTTAATCGTGGCTTCTTTTTTTTTATTTTAAAACTAGAAATATCATTCTTGTGTAGTAAAACTACTATCTAAAGTGGTTTAAATTTCATTATGATTATTGCATGCACATAATATATGTATACATGATATAAAAGTTATAAAAACATTAGCTAGAAAAGCATTACTTCATTTATTTTATGTGATTAAAGTAAAAAAAGATCATTGTGCATTGCATTTTGAAAAAAAATACTCTAGAATTAAGCATCAAATATTTTTTTATGTTTAGCGCTTTCTAATCATATATAAAACCATCAAATTTTTTGGTAATAGTATATCTAGTGGCGGAATTATAACAATAGGCAATCAACTCATTAAAAGGAGTGAACGTTCTAGATATTAGATATATCGGGTCTATTGTTCAAAGTTATGGTGATATAGATAGGGATGTTATTAGTAGAATTCAAGTTGACAGGTTATATCTCTGGTCTATTGTTCAAAGTGATGTTGATATAGATAAGGATGTTATTACTATAATTCAAGTTAACTAGTTGAAAGTGGAGGAATGCATCAAACCTATTGTATGATAGAAAAGTATTGCTTAGACATAAAGGAAAATTTTATAAGATGGTGGTAAGACCTGCAATGCTTTATGACGCAGAATGTTGACCTATAAAAGAGAACCATAAAAGCTTTATGACGCAGAATGTTGACCTATAAAAGAGAACCATAAAAGCTTTATGACGCAGAATGTTGACCTATAAAAGAGAACCATAAAAGCTTTATGACGCAGAATGTTGACCTATAAAAGAGAACCATAAAACTAAATTAAGTGTTGCAGAGATGAGAATGCTTAGGTGGATGAGTGGAGTTACACTTAAGAGACAAAGTGTGAATAAAAAATCTGTGAAAGGGTTGGTGTAGCTCTAGCGGTAAACAAGTTTAGAGAAAGTCGTCTTAGATGGTTTGGTCACATTGAACGTTTATCATCTGATGATCCGGTTTGGAGAATAGATGTTTTAAATTCGACTTATGTTAAAGGTAGAGGACGATCTAAAAAGACATGGTCATGTTGTATAAAAAATGAACTTAATTTATTAGAATTAAATGAATATATGACACTCAATAGGACATTCTGGAGAAAAAGGGTTCGTGTAGTCAACCCCACTTTGTGGGGTAAAGGCTTGTTTTTGTTCTTGTTGTTGTTGTTATAGTAGGTGCAAAAAAAAAATGAATAGTGTTTATCTAAACTATAGTGAAAAATAAGAACATTGTCTTCCTTTCAAAAAATACTCGATAAGATATAGGTTTTTGACATCAATACTTGCATCTTTGTTAAAACTTGATGTATGATAGTTTTAATAAAATATTCTAGTTATAATAGGATAGATCTCAGAGGTCTTGATTTTCATTTTGAAATCTTCTTAGTAAAAAATCAAGAACATTAAATAAATAAATCTTTTCTAACAAAAAATTCAAAATCTCTTTTTACTTTATTTATACTCTTATACTCTATCTATAAGTTCCAAACCTCTCACTCCCTAATATATTTTCTCATACTGCCTTGCCCTCTCCATTCTCTCTTGCAAAAAAATTAGTATCCATATCGATAACCTGTTATACTTATGCAGACAATTCACAATGTTTACGCTAAGATTTTGTTGTGAATAATTTTCAATCAAGGGGTACACATTAGGCCAAGTTTGTTCTAACTTATCTAAACATGAAAAAAGTTGAGTGAAAAGTCGACAAACTTTCATAATTTCATAGCCACACATCAGACAAATAAAATCAAAAGTATAATGAATGATCACGATGGTGAAAAATCAATCTCCAAATTTGATAACGAATTATGGTTATTTCACAATATCCTTTAGGAAATCTTTATCGCAAATTTAACTTATATTAAAAATTGAACATCCAACCTACTAATAAAAGTTTTACTCTAGATGATGATTGAGAAAAGCACCAATTCTTTCTAATTCATAGGAAACAATAAGATTATACTAATTCATGTCTTTTTGTGGGGCTCTTGCTCCAATTCTCAATCATCATCCTTTTCTTATATTCAAAAACGCAACATCAAAAACTATATGAAAAAAATGACTTCTTCGTATCAAGATTTATTTTACTTGAACATGTTCAAGCGCGTACGTAAGCATAAATCGAGAAAATAACAAAAATCATCTTAATTAAGGTATTAAGGTTTAATAGCCCTTCACATCAAGATTTGCTATAAAGATAACCAATAAAGGATAATTTTGTGAGGGTGTCAACTATAATCTCCGATAGTATTACTAACTTGATGTGGGAAATTCTCATTAGTTGTAGAATTTCCACCATCTGCTATAGAGTTCTAGCACCAGAACCAATTTTTAGTGTCGCATAATTGAAATTGTTTCTCAATCTCAATATTTCAACTCTCATTGGTTTTGAGGACCAAGAGAGCTCTTCTTGAGAGATTCGAGATAATTTTTTATAAATAAAAATATAATAGATCTCATGAAATGCGGTATTAAGATATCGATCATCCGAGCTCAATATATTTAATTGCTCATCACTAATAGTAATAAGAAGAGCCTCAAGAACATTGACAGCTCACCATGGCTCGAACAACATGGTTTCTCGTCTTTGCCTCAATTTC